TCTGGCAGTGATGTCACCTTTGGATGTGAACTTGGTAGGAAAAATGGTATGTAGTGGAAGCTATCTTTTGAACCTAATCCCAACTCCCCCCAGACACCATGTGTGTAGGCATTGTGGGATTATGACCCTGAGGTGTTGGGGAAAATGCCTGGACTTTTGTTCTTGCTATAATTTCTAAGTAAATATCTTTTTGTTAAAGCCAATTGATGTTAGATAGTAAAATGGAACTCACGAGCATTAATCATTGGTGCCCCCTAACAATTTGGGAGTAACACAGCAGATCAAACAGATAGCCAAGAGATACCCACATGGGAGATGTAGCAGGCCTGACCCAGAAAGAGGAACCAGATCATAGATTTGGCCTATTTAATTTATAGTAAATTTTGGCTTAATGACAGCATTTTGCTAAAGCTCTTTATTATCATAAACTCTAACTCTGCCATGGCAATGTAATGAGATTGTAACATTAATGGGTCATATAGTCACCTAACCATTCTCAAACTTCCTTTAGAGAGTTTTGGGAACTTATTGGGTAAGTGATCAATTCTTTTTGTTTGTTTGTTTGTTTTTTGTTTTTAGGCAATTGGGGTTAAGTGACTTGCCCAGGGTCACACAGCTAGTAAGCCTCAAGTGTTTGGTCTGAGGCCTTATTTGAACTTGGGTTGTCCTGACTTCAGGGCCAGTGCTCTATCCACTGCACCACCTAGCTGCCCCTAAGTGATCAATTCTAAAACCCAGGAGGACCAATTTAGGCATTACAATACAGCAGGTTCAGAACCTGTACGTGTAGCATGAATATATTTAGACATATATAATCTGAGCTGCCTAGTCCATGTTTCTGGGGAGCTGGGGTTTCTACCTTTGTGGGGAGCAGGCCAAAGGTTGTTGCTGGGTGATCACTCCTTCACTGTTCTATTTCCAAGAAAGATATCAGACATGAATATATCGATTACGCATTACACAATTACAGTCTAGGGGTTTGATGCTCTTTTAGGGGTTCAGGATAAAGCCACTTTTTTATGGTCCATAGGAGGACATAACATATATCCATCCAGAATGGGTAGGTAACAGCTTCATCTCTTGGTCAGTTTATCTCCCCTTCCACCAACTATTTGGCAAAAAGAAAAAAATCAGAAAAGGCAAGAAGTAAAATGATAATGGGAAAATTATATAAATATTTTAGGTAACAGAACACAAGAGGAGGAGGTGGCCATTCCATGATTTATAAACAAGATGGAATCTCAGCTCAAATGAAGAGAGAACAATCTTTTGCTTAGTACTCTCTGGGATACAGCACTAGGAATTAAGGGATATTTTGGGGGTGTTGACTCCTCCCCACAAGCCAATGGCTTCAGGGCCTTGCATATGCCCAAGTCCATGCTTCCCCTCTCTTTCCCTTGTCTTCTCTCCCTGATTCTCTTGCTTCATTTTTGAGAGTCATATTTCTCTTGCCAATGCCATATACAGAGTCACGGTCATTCAGGAATTGACCAAACCCGCCTAGGAGTAGGGTTACACAATAACAGAAACCTCTGTAATGTATACCATATTGTCACTCTATTACCTTGGTTGGGATCTCTCATCAGCTGGTTATATGATAGATTTTAAAAGGGAAATCCTAGTATAAAGGAAGGAGAATCCTAATACAGCCAATGTAGAAACTACTCTGAGAATAACCATTAGAAATCATAAGCCATGATTTTATTTGCAGTTGAGCTCCTGATATAAACGTAACTTCTCTAGCAACACTAATGCACTGATAATGTTTTCAAGTGGCTAGACTTCTAATTGCTTCTCTTCCGTGGGTGCAAATTATTTTTGCATGATGCTAAGTGCTTAAGTGTGAAACATCATTGAACTCTATAGCTAACATTTATATAGTGCTTACTATGTGCCAGGCACTGCCTAAACACTTCACAATCATTATCTCATTTGATACTCACAACAACCCTGGGAGGTAGATGCTATTTTTATTCCCATTTTACAGATGAGGGAACTGAGGTAAACAGGGGTTAAGTGATTTGTCCAGAGTCAGATAGCCAGGAAGTGTCTGAGGCCACATTTGAACTCTGGTCTTCTAGCTCCTTATCTGTCATGCCACCTAGCTGCAACTATTGCTTTAGAAAATGAATTCAGTTGACTGGTATTTCAAGGACAGAAAAATAAAAAGGAATGTTAGTAAACAACAAAAATGAAAGGAACCAGGTCACTAGGAGCCACAGTGGATAGAAGGCTGGACTTGGAGTCAGAAAAATATGAGTTAAAATACAACTTCAGAAACTTATTAATTGTATTAATACTTATTAAGCTTCTTACTATCTAAAAGGAAAATTGGGGGCATGGAAGATTAGAGAAAGAATTCCTAATTGTTCCAGTGATACAATCAAAAATATATTTCCTCCACTTAATTTTTGTAGTCATTGCTTAGCAAATTACATTCTGGGTGATTTTCTTTTTAAAGAAACCTTTGTATTTAGGTTCTTTGAAAAATCTGGTTAAGTCTTCATGATTCTGTATGTTGCCTTTCAGGGGAGGGAGTTCTTTCTTAATCATCTCCAAACCTGGGCAAGTCACTTTAACTTCTCTCTACCTCAGTATCCTCCTTTGTAATAGCACTTTCCTCCTAGGGTAGTTGTGAAGATCAAATGAGATATTTTTAAATCACTATATAAATGTTAGCTTAGCTATTATTACTGTCATTGAATTAATTACATATTAATTTTTATAGACTTTCAAAAAGATTTTATTTTCTAATAATGGCATATTTTAGTTTGCAAGAACAGAGATGTATTCTACGACTTCCTTGTCATTTGTGTAAAAAAGTAATATAAGAATCATTGAAGTTGTAAGCAATTTGTACTTTATACAATGTATACTTTCTGCCAGTGAAATGAAGATACATAACATTTTATTAGTCTGTTTAATATTTTCTTAACCATTCCCCATTTGCTTTTTTTAAGTGTTATTTCTTTTTCAGAAATTAATTCAGCCATCATTAACTATAATTCAGAGCCCTTCATCCATTTGCCACAATAAAAGGGCAAGAAAGGTGTAGGTATCCCTAGTATGTGAGACTGTTATAGAGGCAAAGATACTCTAGGTGGCTCTGTGTTTTATTAAATGGAATTCCAGTATCGGGAACAAAAAGATGTTATACAGGATGTAAGTTGATCATATAGAAAGAATTAACCCCTATTTAAACAGAAAAGACAATGATTAATAGTGCCTTAAAATTACTTTTATTTAGTTGAGTTTAAACACAGCAATAAAATTTAAAAACTAGCCCCTTCTTTAACAGATGGGAGTTGCAATATCTCCTTCCTCCATAAAATACGCAAGACCATTTAAAATTCTTGGGTAAGCTGTCAATAACACAGAATGGTTTAGAGATAATTAACATATCACTCCCTCCCCTCAAAGGCAACATACAGAATCATTTAGGACCAACCAGATTTTTCAATGAATTTAAATGCAAAGTTTTTTTTTTAATCACACTGCATGCAATTTACTAAGCAATAATTACAAAAATTATGCAAAGAAAAAATATTTTTAATTGTATCACTGGAATTATTAGGGAAACACTTTCAAATTCTTTCGTCTGCATGCCTAAAATTTTCTTTTTTAGATACTAGCTTTCCAATTTATTCAATGTTTACTTAAAAAGTAAACGATAAATTTGGAAAGTACTAACTTCAAATATTTTTCCATTGGAATGAATTCAAAGTTATCGACCGCCTAGCAGATGCTAGAAGCATATCTGAAACTGCTAAATCTCTTACTTAACTCCACCATACCCAATAGGTGACACATAAAATGGTGGTACAGATTTTAAAACTTCAATTGTACTCATTTGAATGAAGAATTAAGCTTCATCTCACTCTAAAAAAATAAATCAAAGGTATACGGGACAATACCGATCCTTCCCTTACCCAAGATTTTCACTCTGCGACACATCTCCCAAGTCCAAAAGCATGCTTTTTAGTTTATTTATTTTTGCTTTTCCAGAAAAAACTATTATAAAGATGTGATTTACATTTCTGCTAGCAAAATCTAAATTAGGCAACTAGATCGTTTTCTCGACTTTGAATTTCAAGAGGTGAAATACATTGATATAGGTGCTAGTTTCAAAAGCTTGCATTCACCCAGTGTAAACGATTTTATCATTGAGTATTTTTGGAATATTGTAATATTTGGAATAATTAAACACAGGAAGACTTCTTAAATATTACTGAACAGTCCGATTGGTTTCTTTGCAAGCTTGAAAACGGTCAAAGAACAAGGTTTTGTTTGCCTCCAAATGAACGTGAAAAGTGAATCATATCGTTTAGATTTAGAAGGCACAAACTTAGAAACAGCGTACCCAATTACACTCGCTTTTTAAAGAGCAATACATTCTCAGTAAAAGGTGCAGTCAGTCACAAGGTCCTGGGGAATTTTAATAAGGTCTCCTTCCCCTAATGGGCATTTATATTTCTCAGACGAGATTTCTACGACGGTACCAGAAGGTGTAGAGTGCGATAAGAGGTATAATCGGTCTGCTATCTTTTTGGAGGGGAGTGGTAGGTCAGTGCTATTTGCACAGTTAAACTAGCTGCTGGTT